GTCTTTTTGAAATTTTCGATAGTACAGAGAGTTAGCCGAAAATGAACTCGGCGCCGTTTCCAAGCGTCCGTTATCCAATGAACAATGTAAAAGTAAACTTTGGAGCAGTTTTTTGAGAAAATAATTGTTTAAAATTGCCTACATTTCACGTATGTGTTTACAAAAGTTACTCACCCTATCGAAAAGTTGTACATGGTACTTTTAAAGATCTGTCTCTAAATTATATGTTTTACTAGGAGAATTACGGCCCGCCGCCGTCTGCCCGCTTCGTCAACGCTGCTATGGCCTGGATGCTCTCGTGCCGCTAACGCCACCCCCCCCTCCTATCGTCTCCTGGCTCAGCATTTCGTCCGTGTGCATCGTCCGCCCTCTCGTCCTGCCCTGCTCGACCCCGCCTCGCGCCCCACGGCAACGCTCAGCAACAATAAGCCCAGTTGGATTGGCAATGCGTCTTATGCAGCAACGCCATCTAGTAGACAGTTACAACAAAGGGAACAAAATAAAAATATTCTCCATGAACAAAAAAACAATAATCTATACCAATGTCTTGGACATCGGTAAAAGTTGTCGGAGATTGTAGATCTTGGAACAACATCAATATATTAAGACAAAAACATTTACCTTCAACAATGTAGATGTGGATATTAAGATTAACACGCTAAGAAATATGAATTTTGGTTTACACAATAGAGGGCGTAATTTATTACATATAGGAACAATATTTATTTTTTTGGATGCCAGGGCTCTCCAATACTAATTTTCACTGTCGAAAAATCGCCGATTTTTGCCACAGCATTGCTTTCTCTCTATTATGCAAGTACGCAGTTTAGAAACAAAGTTAAAAGAGTGTCCGGAAACAGATTTTTTGCTACTCGTTTCCCCCACTGCCATGATTTTACGACTGATGACTGAAAATTAGAAGTTATCGCATTTATTATCCGAATTCTGATTTTGTCAATCGTTGGCAATCCTAGGATGTTCTAATATTCGTTCGATGCTGAATTTAACAAATTACATGTCCTAACACTTTCAGACATTGCCAGTTAAGATATTGATTATTTAGTATGAACTGTACGTTATGCAATATCAGTGAAAGTTCCCAAGTGATAATTAACAACAGCAATAAAGACGTTAATTCTAGTATCAGTTCTCAGAGAAACCCAAATCCTAATAAGTAATGGCTTATTTTTATTCTTCATAGGAAAAATAGAGGAACGGTTGCAATATCGTTTGTAATAATAGACATAACGCATGCTTCGTGGATGGGGCGGATTTTTTCGATGGAAGTGAGTATTGACTGCGGGAGCGTCCATTAGTTCCGTAAGTGTAGGTCATGTTATACCCAGGGAGTCGGCGAGTTTCCCCTCTGCAACGTGAGATCCGGTGCCGACTCCAATGCTGGCTTGCGGGTTTCCCCCTCCAAATGTCTCCTCTCAGGGCATTGCCCTAGCCGTGACAAGCTCTAACAGTAAATTCGCAACTGGCCTCCTGAAATGAGTGATAGTATGAAGCATATGCATGTAATGAGGATTGTGTTTGATGAGTAGAGACCAAAAAAGAAGTAGTGTGAGGCGTCAAAATATGCGCATAGATATGTAATGAAAACTGTAAGAATATGTAATAAATATGTAAAATCAGATATAATGTGACATATAGGTGTTGTGGTGCGTTATCGTTGGTATTTCTAATGAAATAATTATAAACTTTGTCATTGCCAACAATAGTATTTATTACAAGAGCAGCTTTCGATGGCTTAGCCATCATCGTCAGTTGTCTGCTGAATGGAAGCCACAAAAACGACTACGTCGACTACGACTACTAGTCGTTTTTGTGGCTTCCATTCAGCAGACAACTGACGATGATGGCTAAGCAATCAAAAGCTGCTCTTGTAATAAATACTATTGTTGGCAATGACAACGTTTATAATTATTTCTTTATAATGTGTCATGTTAAAATACACTAATTATAAATTATACGAAATTACATTAATTAAAAATGTCTTACATAATACGAAATTACATTTATTAAAAATGTCTTAAAGAAATTTTAAAAATAATACAAATGTTTTAATAACCATTTGGAGAGCACAAGTTGATGCACACTTTTCACCATACAAATTTCCCATTAGTAGTAAAAACTTCATCCATTATCATCCAGAACCGTAGTTAAGCAGTCAGACTTGACGCAATAGAAGCCGTCGTTATCTCCGATCAGCAAATAATCTCTGCCGCGAGCAGTATTGTCGATGACGTGTTTCACGTCGGCGATCGCCAAAGTTTCTCGGAAATTCGGGTTCAAGGCCCACGAAACGCGGCGTCAGTGATACTTTTCACACCTAAAGGTAAAACTGGTCTCAGTCGCTGACGCGCACCTGCCGCGACACACATAACTGCAGCAGGTGCAGCGGGAATATCCGACCGCCTCTTTCGTAGCGTACCTGCAGTAGACAGTGAAGGAAAAATGCTTATTTTTTTAAAAAAATCTCGTAATCTGTTCATAAGAAAGTAATAAAATTGATATAATAAAATAATATTCTGTAAAAAAATAACCAAAGATTTAAAATATGTAATATAGTACTAAATAAGTAAAAAAGTAATATAGTACTAAATATATAAAATATGTAGTGAAACAAATTGATATTGTGTTAGGACGGTGACGATTCGCCAAAATTATAATTTGAGTACGGTAAGTACAACGACAAAAAATGTAATTATATAAAAATTCGATCTTCTGATGAGGTATTGCTCCGGAATTCGCCTAATATTGATCGGAGAAAGCTTGGAAAATTACTGTTCACAAGAGCAGACCGCTAGAATTCTTCTCCAGGTAGTAATCGAAATCGAATCAGCAACGTTGTTAGCTGATGTTGAGTATCCTCCAACTCTGGGACATTCACGTTACTCGTTTCGCCAAATCTAGGAGCTCTCGGTTAACGATGCAGATCCAATGTTCTGATTCCTACCCAGTCCTCATTCCCGTCCTTTGGGCCAGTAATACTGTTCTCGTAGGGCTGTCCCCATTGACTTAAAAAGATTCTGATAAGTGCCGTAGATCCGAGAGGCAGCCACTATCTGCAAGACTCTCAAGGCCCATGATAGGGTAATCGAAAAAAACACTAAGAGGTGCTACAACAGTACGTACATTTTTTGTAAGGATTACGTAATACCCTTACAACTTGAACCCGCTGTAGTCTATGAATCGCACATGTTAACACAAACATCTAAAATATATGTTTCGCCTCAAGATTGGTTCTTAAGGATTGAACACAGCAGTGGAGTAACTTATGTTGGTGTCACCCGGGGCAAAACTATTTCTATCACCCTCCCGTAAAGTAAATATAAAAAATATCTATTACAAAATAGTTTATACATCAATTAATACAAATGAAAGTATTTTTGCACCCGGAATTTATTAACATTATATTAAAAACTGTATGTAATTCAGAATCATTGAAACATAATTTTTAAATCAACGAGGTAAATCTAATCAACAAATCCATGTTTTTTGTAAAAACACTTTTCAACTGCTGCAATTAATATCCTTTTACCGATATCGTTTCAAAAAAGAAATTCGGTATAAATATTACATATCATTTTGTTAGTATTACCTCTTATTTCCATCAACAGTTCACCCATTAAGAGAACGTAATCGTTGAAATTGAGACACTTCACCACTAGACAATAGGCGTTTGCCATTCATAGTTTCATCCATGTCGGTTTAGTTTACATTATTTATCTTAGCTATCTTAGTAATTATTTACATGTATAACAATTGAATTTATTATTAAAATTATATAATTCCTACTAATTCGTGTTTAAAATGGAATCACCCGGGTTGTGGTCTGCCCCCCTCCCCCCGCCAACCCGAAAATATGCCCCTAGAACAGCGTGTTCTTCCGATCAGGACAGGACTTTATGCAGAGAACGTTGCACATTCTAAATTTTATTTGAATTATCTTCATCCGCCTGTTTTGTTCCCTTCTTTTTTCATGACTGAATTTTGCTAATGTTCAGCTTGAAATCTGAAAGTTACGGATGAAGTGATATCAAGCTCTTGGATAAAGATACAGAAACTTTCGCGATATAATACGTTATTAAATTCTAATATTAACCCGCAAATATGAAATATTTTATGAGTATTTACGAAATGTTCCTTTTTTAGTGTAGGTCAAAATTATCTCGTCGTATAACTGAGAAAAAAATATAGTAGTGGTTCTAAAAAACAGTTCACTCGGCTCTGACTCACCCATGAACAGATCATTAAATCTATTAATAATTCAAAAATAGAAACCCCACTAACCCTAGCGGACACACTTAACTATACACAACAGGAAGTTTGATGTATTAACTCTGTCTGACGAGGGAGTTGGATTGCTGACAACTCATTTACAGATGTACTGTACAAAAAATCCCGGCCTGTATTTAAACACAAAAGCCTGATTTCGAGCTTGTCCAGCAGAAGTGGAAATATCTAAAAAGAGTCCGTTCTTTACCCGCAAGGCGTCAAGTCTTCGTGAACCAGATGGTTGACTCCCCCCCCCATCTCCGATGTGGTTGTGTCACTCCGCACGAGACGATTTACCCAGTGAGTGGAATACCAGATCGTATTCGTGGACTAAATCTAACTTGCATGAATTAAAGAACTCTGTAGTTTTCTAGTTCATTGCTGGGTTATAAATATACAATTTTTTCGTCTGTTTCAAGTTTGTTTTAAAACTCTTTAATTCATTACTAGTCTTTTTTACCAATGTCTTAGTACGTATAAATTATACGTGTGATAATTTAAAGTTTTTGATTTTGTGACCACCAATAAAAGTGATGAATGGAACCCTGGAAGATTAAAAAACGTTATTTCAGTTAGTCCAAATGCGCACTTTAAGAAAATTTTTAATTCCAATTATTCTGACTACAGAACTCGTTTTATAGTGTGATCCTAAAAAACGAAGGTATTAAGTAATTACAAAAGAAGGAATTGTTAACAGCAATAATATATATTAGTAATTAATACTGATAATGATAAATTCATAATGAAAGATTGAATGAATGAATTAATGAAAAATATGAACAAACATCCTCTTCCACCTTTTGAGCACGTACAGTTCGATCGCCACCGCAACAGAACTACTTAGCACCACCAATCGACATCCACGTCAAAAAAACATTCTCGTGCCCCACGTGAAGCCATTACGTAGCCCATTGAATAACTTGCCAGGGCTCCCGCCTTCCAAAGGCGCAACGAAAGCCATCGTTATACAGTCCGCTATCTACACAAGTCGGAGCAGGGCAGGATTGCACCACGTGGCGACACACTCAGCGGCCGACGCTCTCGCTCGCTCGCGCCGTCAGCGCTCCCACTCGGCCGCTCGCGGTCTCTCTCGGGCCCGCGGGCGCTCTCGCTCGCTCGCGGCAGCGGATTCGCGCGCGGCCAAGGTTGCGCCACGTTGCGCACGGCGGGCCGGTGACGTCACGTGACGTCGCGCCGGCCGGCCGGTAAAATCGGCGAGCGCCGCCGCCCGGCGCACAGCTCCGCCGAGGCCTTCGCAGCGAGAGCAGCGAGGCGGCCGCATCCGACAGTGGGGCTCCGCCAGCGCCTGCGAGCCGGGTCAAGGCCACTGACCGCGTTCAAGGTGAGTCCTTGCGCTCAGCTGTGCCCCGGCGAGGCGATATTGACGGTGCGTCCCGTCGCGCTTATGTCACGCTGCCAACGACGGCAGACAAGCTGCTGCTGATTATAAGGGACTGCCATGGCGTTGACGTGGGTGATGACTCAGTGGCGTGTGGGTGGTTCGGGTTGATGTGTACCTGGGAAAGCAGATTTAAGCCTGTTACTCAACAGATTAAGTAACAAATTGGATTAGTATTGTGTGCAAATACTTCTGAGAGTTGAGGACCCAAGTTGTTTACAGTTGCGCGATACATTATACTATTGCATCATACAAGTGCGGGAGTGTATTTGGCGTGCAGCTGTCGGAAAAACTGAATGACTTGAGACGTAGCGTTTACATGCTGAATTTTCTCAGCAGAAATGCCGTTGAGGAATCGTTTTAAGATGTGGATGTTATACAAAAAAGTATATAGCATTTTTAATGTGCAGCCACTTTGGATTAAGATCAGCCCACTCATTGTGATACGTATTTTTCTGGGCAATATGTGTGGTTAGGATTTGAATATAATATTGTTTAATTGCTATTTCATTATTTTCAGAATGTTTCAGTTAACAAGATGAAAGATTTTACAGTTAATTTTCTTGTTTTATTTACATACTAGCTAAGGAAACATAATTCCCTATTCCAAATATTTTTATAATTGATATGGACGCCGTTTTTTTAAAATTAATATTTTACTTTTTTAATTCAGTGCATTTTATTCTTCCATGAAAGTTCACCAAATAATCAAATTAATTGGAAATCACTTCTAATATCCCGTATAAACTTTCATGCGAATAAACCATTCATAGTCAACGGAAAATCGGTTTTAGGTTGCATTAATTAACTCATTTATTAATAACCCATCCACTTTCCATTCATCAATTATCATCCATTCACCTAACCATAATTTATTTATTTTTCTTTCATTCATTCATTCATTCATTCATTCATTCATTGCAGTCATTCATACGGTTTCACTTTTTCGCAGGTAAATCTTCCGAGCTGTCGCAGAAATGGATCAGTCGGGTACGTCACCTCCCGAGGCTCTGCCTAAATGGTTAACGGAAGAATACTTCCGGTCTCTGTTCCGGCGGAAGTCGCCCGGAGAGGAGGTCGCCGTACAAAACGTCACAGTCAAGTTCGCCGACGAGGAGCGCGTTCACGGCAGGCTCATTCGCGTGGCCGTGGATGTCGCCACCCCCGCCGGCGCCAAAACCCTTTCCTACATCGTCAAACGCCCCGCCCCCGGACAGTTCGCCTCCACCCCCGCCAGCGCTAACATGTACCGCATGGAAGCGCTCGTGCTCGGAGAAATCATTCCGGCCATGGAAAAAGTGCTAGAAGCCGTCGCGCCTGGAAAGTTCGAACAGTTGGCTCCGCGTCTTGTGGATTACGGGCTGGACGAGAATCGGTTCATCATGACAGAGGATTTAAGTGTTGTAGGTTTTAGCACGGGCAATCGCCAAATAGGACTTGATTTGGAACACAGTTTAGCTTACGTGAATCATCTCGCCGCGTTCCACGCCGCGTCTGTCGCGGTAATGGACCGGTACGAGTCGGAAATCAAAGCGATTCCGCTGCTCATCGATTCGGAAGAAGTGAAGTTTCTGAACGAGTTCATCGCCACGTCGATGAAGGGCGTGGAGTCAGCGATCGATTCGTGGGAAGAAGGGTCGAAGTACGCGCACCAAGTGCGCACGCTGGGCGCGAGCTTGCCTTCGCGTCTGGCGCTAGCCAACCGTGCGGGGGAGGGCTTGGCCGTGCTCTGCCACGGGGACATGTTCGTCAACAACATCTTGTTCCGCGGAGGCGCGGGCGGGCCCGCCGTGCGTCTGGTGGACTTCCAACTGTCGCGCGTGGGATCATTCGCCGACGACCTGGCCGGGTTCCTCGTGAGCGCCGTGGACGACGACGTGCTGCGCAGCCACTGGGAGCGCGTGGGCGAGCAGTACCGAGGAGCGCTCAACGCCGCGCTGCTCGCGCTGGGCCACGGCGCGCGCGCGCTCTCCCAGGAGGCCGTGCGCGACGCGATGCGCGCCCAGAGAGCCGTGGCGCAGTTCGCACTCTTCCACATGCTGCCCCGCTCGCGCGCGCCCGCCGCCGTCCACCTCCACGCCGCCGGCCCGGCCTTCCACGCGCCCGCGTACCGCGCTCTGCTGGCCCTCCTGCTGCCCAGGTTCCGCGCACTGGGATGGCTCGACGAGTAAGTAGCTTCCATCTCTCGCGGCCGCCGCTCGCTGGCGCAGTCACACAGAGGTTCGCTCGTGCACGGGGTGCAGTCATTGCAGTTTTTGGGGGTGCCTAGCTTCTCAATACCGCCCAATTTCTATTCACTTCTTAAATTCAAACGACTCCCCATAAAACCGATTCACAGTGTTCAAACTGCGTATTTCACCGCGCTTGAGCTCTATGAAAAGGGTTTCAATGCATTGTTCTAAAGCCTCAACATCTCACTAATTTCTGTCTCATAGTCAATCGGATTACAGCTAAACTAATCCCCATTGAGTTTATGAATCAAAATTTTGAAAGAGGGCGAACGTATGATTTCTTTTACAATATACCAGGTTTGTGCTGTGGAATATACGAGTTGTTTTCATGCATCGAAATATTCAAAATTGTAATTTCGTGTATGGCAATTTTATCTTTTATTGATAATGAATTGTGTACTTTAAAGAGAAAATCGGTGTCGTAATAATATTGATACTGGCTCAATCACTTAATCAATGATTTAGGATTGCATCTTTATTAATGCACTAGGGTTTTGAGCAATGAAAGGATTTATTGCACAGTAACAGTTCAAGAATCTTTGAAAATAAATGTAAATTAAATTCCAGGCTTAAAATCGTAAGAAGTGTAATAAAATATCATTCGATATTTTGGGTGTTAATATTAAATACAATAATATTGTGCATTCTATATTTACACTTCGCATCTTTTATTTTCAAATATTCGTTATTATTAATAAAGATAACAGAATTCCAACGTACGCCACGTCCTGTAGTTTGCTGTTGGAAACGCGTATCTAGAAGCGACCTTCTGACGTGACGGTCATGTGACTTTTGTCTCGTGAGGATGAATCAGTGCACCTGCATCACGAGCGGCCTTGTGATTGTAACATATGGGATATTCACACGGCATCTGCTTGGGCTTGTATTTTGTTTTTGTGAAGTTTCGCATGTCAGTTTGTTTCGCTATTCTTGGAGATTGTGTAAATGTAAACTAATGCTATTTTCAGAAATAAGTAATGTGATATTTGCTCATGTTTTTCTAACTTGCACTCTGAACTTAATACAGTGGCAAATAATTGGGATACTAACCTGCCAACAAGTGCTGAATGATAATGCAATACTGTTTGTATGAAAAACCTAAAATCTCCTTCTCTAATGATTTAGTTTCGATTTGTGACTTGTTTTATTTCTCGTAAATGAGTTTCAGAAACAAGAAAATGAAATTTTTCACCTGACGTTATAAATTTAATGGATTTAAATAAATGTGTCAACTGTAGCCATGTAACAAATTTTATAGAAGTAGATTATTAGGCATGTAGTATTTTGCTGTACAAGCAGTATTACGTAGTTCTTAGATTTGAAACAGTTTCAATGAAACTATTTACAAAGTAAGTGGAATAACATGATGTGACAGTTGTGGCGTTAACAGCGGTGCTTAATATGAATGGATTCTACATAGGTGTTTGTAAACCATGATCATAAATTTGCAAACAACAACTTACTCATTAATCATAGAATCATTGTGGTGTTATTCTGTGACAAATATTATTGTGAGCATGGGTATTCAATAAGTGAAATCAAAGAATGAACATGGTAATAATCATAATTATGCCATTAATTTATTGTTTAATAAGTATGAATGCAAAAGTATGGAAATCTTCACTTTTTGTTAATATTTGTTATTTAAATCTACGCTAAAAGATGTATTTTATATGTATTTTTGATATCTATAATGGTCTTTGCAAATTACAAAGCAAAAAACAGAATTACGAATTGTAATAATATATTAAATGAATAATAGGACTTCAATAGCAAAGTGTTTGCTAAGCCTTCAAGTATGCATTGCAATTTATGTGAACCCTGAGGAACTAGGTAGAAATATTGGCATACGGGTACTAATACGGGTATTGTATTGTGTAAGACACATGTCATATGACATACAATCATCTATTTTGGCACCAATTGGTGTTTCTTTTAACTTTAAGATGGCAGTTAAGACATCTTCATACATGTGAAAGAAAGAGAATGAAAGAAATAAAGAAAGAACAAATGTGTGAAAACACATTAAACTATTTATTTTCCCATTTTGATTTGTTCCACTCTTGCAATGACAGCAGTTCATGAACCCGGTTCCTTCTTTCCATAACAAGGTAGTGATCTTCATTTGATTTAATAGCAGATTTTAATTTGTTTAATTATTTGTTAGTTTAATTATTTGTTAGTTTAATTATTTGTTAGTTTAATTATTTGTTAGTTTAATTAGTCTATTTGATTAATTCGTTAGTTTAATTGACTGTTTTATGTGAAAGTAGTTTATGGTTAGATAATTTGATGAGTCTTCAGAATTCAGGAGCACAAACTGTTTAATAATAACTGTTAAAAAAATAATACAATATGTGTATATCTGATGTAGAGTTTGAAAGGAAGTATTTCAATGAAACGTATAAAATATTTGTAAAATTATTGAAATGCATGCATTAGGTTCTAGTAATTTAAAACGCAAGCTGTAACTAAATGCCTTACATATAAGAATATGAAGCTGCTACAGTTAGTTATGTGTCATTTGAATGTGTTATTGGTAAAAGGACGAAGATTTATTTGTAAACAACATTCAATCGAATGTTCTAATAACGTTATGAAAGGAATGAGAATGATTTAACGACATTATATTCAGTGTGGAGGAATCTGAATTACACTAAATAAATTTCAGTGCACTGATGACAAATACTACACTCTAAATACGGTGTTGCAGGTGCAGTTATATTAAGGTGAACTAAACAAAATATGAATATTGAATTGTGGTTATGACATTACATAATTTAAAATGATTACTTCATCGAAATCTTGAATTCATTAATAAAAATTCTTGAAACATATTTAGATATAGAGTACACATAGTGATGAAGAGGCAATGATTACTTGCCACCAAAATTAGGATTATAAAATATTATTTAAAGTGTTTCGGGATAAAATAATCCCATCAAATACGAAGCAGGTTGTTGTTACAAACTGAAATGCTTCTTTTGATCACATTTGTTTTCACATTTTAAATTAATTATAATTTCTTAGAAAGGAATACTGAAATGTTATATTGTACCATTCAAGCTTGTTTCAATAGTAAATATAAGATACTGACTACATTAACACATTTCGTTCATATTTTAAAATCTATAGATATACAAGAACATAATATTAAAAATATTTATCATGGAGGCAGTCCCATCATATCAGGTGTTTTGATGTAGAAAAATGGAGATTTGACATTTTCGACGAAATAAATATTTTTGGCATTAAGAATATTTCTCTGGACTCGAAGTAGTTTCAAGAACAGACAAAAAATAGCAATGAAAAATTGCTTACGCTTTTTGACTTGTGCAACTACGAGATTTGTATGAACGGTTGCAATACATTGCATGTAACTACGAATCGTGGAACGTCAAATACCATATTTACATCTGAACGCCATGTACTTCACTCTTCACTTGACTTGCGACGTTCATCTTCATCACTTCAAACATCACGCCAGACACACATGTGTACATGGAGATAAAGGTATGGAGCAAACATTACTATGGAAGATTGAGAAAGAATTCGTATCAGGAGGGTTTAAATGGTAGGGATAAAGACTGAAATTCGGTAAACTATATCAATATTGGGATATAAAATACATCATTATCACATTGATGTTTGAATTCCTAATAAATATCATAAACGTAATCCGTAAACTACAGTTCGAAAAACATAATACAAGTGTGACACATTTCGCAGTTTAAGGCATCAGAAAACACTTCACATTTATGTTTTAATTTGTTAATGGCCTTTTAATTTTATTGCCAGCTCTAATCATGTCTTAGTATTATTAACATCACTAATTGTAAAACGACTTTGAATTTTCTTTTATGGAATAGTAATTACATTATTTAGCCTAGAATTTGAGTTTTGAATTAGGTAGAAAAAAATTGAAAGTGGTCCACTGGACACGGTAATTAAGATAAAATCTTACATATACGTTTAAAAAAAATTCTTCCGAAACGATTTTTTCATTTTCCTCATTTCCGAAGATTTGTAATGCTCATCTATTTTTAACTTTAAGTATTTTAACTCTTAATCTAAATAAGTAATGTTAAGACGAATCACTTTAGTGATGTCGGTATAATGCGTTGCAAAGAAATATGTTTTATATCATGAGTAAATAATTCAAAAAATGATATGTTGAAAAGTTTTACATATGTCAATGTTGCACTTCTAAGCTTGAAATAATGTCGCAGCCTGGTATCCGAAGTAGGAAAGACGATTTTTCAGTAATGATTCGTAATTGCTTTGGCTTAGTTGCATTGAACTTATTATTTTTTAGATTAACTGAATGAAACAAATACATCATGAAGGTCTCTACATTTAATATTCCTGAACTGAATGTGTTTTCGTACCTTACTTATCCATTAATAAAAAAAACTTAAGAGATTAAATTTATTTAAATTTGTATCTGCTACTACACACCTACTTTTCATCTTCGAAACTGATCTACGGAATAACTGCTTTATATTAAAGAAATCAGGTGTCAGAAAGACATCTAATCATTTCGAAGCGTTTTCTCAACAGAACACAAGAAATATCAGCCGATCTGTAGGTGCAGAGGCTCGGGAATACATTCAAGCTGTGGGGATAATCACACGTAAGGCAAAAATGTTAGTCGTATTGCGGCATGGTGATATCTTTCTAATAATCACCTTGAATCCTTACCATTCCTTCAACTGCCCCCCTCACACACAAACACTTCTCTGGTAATGTGAGTGAGTGAAGAAAATAACGTTGCATGGCGTTTGGGCCTGTGAGCCTCAGTATCAGCGATTGCCTCGTCTCCTTTTCTCTAACCCGGACCGACCGGTAATGGGCTTAGGAGCTTTGTGTGGTCCAAAGATTGAAAATAACATTTGACCGATATTGATCTGGTGGGAGACTGATACCAAGGTAGTGGCGTATGGAGAGATACAAAGGCTCAACAAGGCAGAATGAATCGTTCGCCGAAAGTTGTAAGACGAAAAATAAAGATAATAGAGTAAAGGGTTAAGAAGTAAGGTAAATGTCTAAGAAGTTAAGAAATACAAATAAGAAAAAAAATTAAGAAATACAAATAAGTTAAAAATAAAGTTAAGAAATACAAATAAGAAAAAAATTAATTGAATTTCCAAAACTGCTAAGCACCAAAATGCTGTTTTCTATGTGCTGAATATTCTTATATAGGTACTAGCATCCCCTACATAAGACCTTAAAAGGTAATAGCATTACACGTATCTAATTTTCTACCTAGGTGACATTGCTGCTAGCACCAGAATATATACCACTATTGACTTCTCAGTAATCTGGGTCTCAGTTGCTTTGAAGCGAGTGGAAATGTCAAGAACGGTTGTTTACAAAGATTCGTAAAGACGAGGTCAAACACTCACAAGAATAATTAATATACAATTGTAAATATATGGCATTTTGAAAACATTCTCGATATTTATAAAGCATACGATTTGAGGAATACAATGTAATTAAATTGATAAGTCAGAAATAAATAAAATGAATCTCACTGTTACATTATAAACACAATTACACAAAAAATGATAGCTAACTAGAAAGTCACTAAAAGAGTGAGAAGACATCAAATGTGTAGTTATTTCTCAGTATTTATTTAGGAAATAAGATATAAAAAGACTCCAAAACACTGTCTCCAATACGCCATAGCACATCAGAATTAAGATGAATGGGTTTTGCATAGTGTACTAGCTGGTGAAGTTTCTTATGAATCCATTATACGCATCGTGAGTGTTAGATGAGAGCAGGAATGTACATTTTTCGGTGCTTGAACGTTATATGTTGTGTAACAGCAACATCCAAAAATCAACAATAGTTTGATTCCACACTCCTGTATGTAAAAGTAAGAACATAAATCATCTTAGAACACAGGTAAAAAAGTAGAATTATTGTGTAGGCTACGTCATGTATTGGCTAATACATCAAACTTACTTAAATATATCACTGTAGTGTTAATTATTCACCGCGTGTTAACTATTGTAGTGCTTTGATGTTTTCACCAACAATTATGGATTTCAAAGGATTCAGAATGTGATAAATATGTCTATATGGTGTTGTATGTAGATATATGTAAATTCAATGTATAAATTAGAACGGTGAAAGATAAACAAATATGTGATTATTGTTCGTAAATATGTGGATTGTGGACAGAATAGCTTGGCAAATTAGGAATAGGGAAGTACACGAGCATCAAAATAAAAATAAGAATAAATTTGGAAGATAGGAATAAACATTGTACAAAAACGTTCCGACTTTGATTTGATCTGATTGGTTTCCGGGCGCGTCGACTACTAAGACCCTTAGTCCCGTCAGTGTAGCACATGTTTCTATTGCCAGGAATGGCTGCAATCTTCCCCCGCTGGATGGCGAGGTCCTGGGCGACATACACGTCGGTTAGCAGGGTTTCCCCAACTACCACCACGCGGCATCCACCTCAACCGGGTCAAACTCTATTGTAAGCTTCCGACATGTGTGGTAGTCTAGCGCATGTAAGAGTAAATGTGTGAGGATAGGACAAGGAAGAATTGCGCGTGGCCATTTGTTAGGGTACTACTCTGGCATTCGCGTGGTATTGATCAGAAAAACTACGGATCCAAGCTGCCAGCCGCTAGAATCTTCCACTTGGGCCGTTGAATTCGACTTAGAAGTATCTAGAATGGAAAATCCTGCCACAGGTGGGACTCGAACCGTAGGTCTTCCCGGTCAGAGGCTCCGCAGTGGTATTAATGCCCTAAGCCACCTAAGCCGGTGGCATGATGCAGTAAATTCAATATTTTACCTCAGTAAGTCAAAAGTAGTTTCTGTCGCTAGATTTAAGAAAATATAAATTGGTATATAAACATTGTTATAAGTTTCAATAAAAAAATCATCGTTTAGTATTACTTTAGATACGTAAGTTTTATATCAAAAGTTTGGAGTAAACGTATGGATTGCTAAATAAGCAATTTTTAGCTAAATAAAGATATGAGACGGACAACCTAGTTCGAATACGATATCTAGCGGTCCGGTTGCTGGAAACTGTTGGAGTACAAACCACATTAGCAGACTGAATGGTCGTGGGTTCGTTATCTATTGTGAGAATTAGAGCTTGCTGATTGGCATTTGTTTGTTTGGTGAAGGATTTGAATTGTGCTGGTACCGTGGAGAGAATAACGCCTTGTGTAACTGTGCCTGGCTTTAGACATCTTTCGGGTAATGTGTCCTCCTTGGAAATTGCCCTAATATTGACCATAAATACCACTTCCCAATCACAAAAGGTTCTTATTCCTTTTTGATTACTTCATTGCTATTCATGCCTAATGTTATGAATTGTGTAGTTAGTACCCTGTAGTTCAGTATACACAGAGTTGCAAAGCACTGCTTATTTTGTGTGTAATGTACATACTAACACTTTTTCTGGAACTTTTTACTTTAACAGAAATCAGTTCAAAAATGTTCACAAATAGTCTCTTTTTGGCTGACTAAGAATGTGCTTCTTGTGTATGTTCGTTGCATTTGAAATTCATAACATGTAAAAATAATACAAGATTTCTTTTGCATTGTTTCACAATGCTCTTCTAACGACATAAAAATATTTAATTAAATATTTTAACAGTGTCTATTATTTATTCTTTTCGCCTCTAAACTTAACCTAATGAATCAACATTAAATATTTGAAATAATAATCATACACATTGCACTTTTCACAGATTCCACAACGCCGAGGTGAATCACAAGAACCGAATTCCTTCGTGGCTGAACCGGGACTACTTCCAGCTGCTTCTCCAGCAACAGTCAACTGGCGCCGACCTTCAAGTCGAGGGAGTCCACGTGACCAAGCCTGGGGGGAAATCCTCTTCCACGACGGACTTCTTCCAGGCGGCAGTGGGAATATCCATTCCTTCCGGCGTAGAAACCGAATTTTTCGTATTGAGATGCCCTGGAAATGTGGTGTTCGCCAAGATGCCTGCCAAATCATGTATGTTAGAAATGGAAATTCCTGCCCTTGGTAAACAGATCTCTGCTGCAGAAAAAGGGACTGCCTCTGGGATAAAAAGTTCCCAATCACGCTCCCTTCTAGATCGGAGGGAAAATTCCAGATATTACACTCATAAAAAAATCCAGGTCAAAACTGTATTTCATCACAAAACTCCAGATCTGAAATTCTGTCTTGCAGTAATACATCTTCTGGCTATCCTCCATGTAGCTTCTATGATCGCGACTGGTGGAAACAACAGTAAAATCTCAGATATAGCAACTTCTCCTTTTCTGAAAGAATACATCACAACTTCAATCAAAACCATCTTTCCCCACTTGGCCACTCTACAGACTGAGCAAAAGGAAGAAGAAAACGGTCCGTCAGAAACGCGCGATGAACGTGTTCTTTTAGACTCACAAGAAGCAATTGTGAAATCTGATGAAATTCAATTAGACACTCAGAAAACAACTCAGGAGTACAGTGCTGAGAAAGAACGGAAATTGAATGCGGTGGCTAATGAACGAATCCGACGAGATTCGCACAGTTCAAAATACAGACTTAATGAAGGTGAACAACGACATGAGCAAGACGTTTCCAAATTCAATAACATAGGTCACAAAATCAACAAAACAATTTCTCGTGCCAGTTACGTTAACGAATTAAGTTACCAATCAGAACGCGTTGACGCCAGAGGCAACACAACGGAACCGTCAGAGGAGAGTTTCCCAACCATACCAAGGCTTAGTGACCTGACCTCCAGTTACCAAGAACGCCGAGAAGACCTACAACGTCGACTCGGCGCTCACTTCCCGGTGGACCGGGTCTCATTTTTCCGGGTAACTCCACAAGCATCCCCTTCTAAAAAAGTATATTCACACAATACAAAAAATTCTTCAGTTGTTTCAATTAAGTTACCACGTTTGAGGCAGTTTGTACTCAACGAACGGTTCCTATCCACATTTCACACTAGCAGCTTTGTGCACATCTATACATAATATTGTAACAAAATAGCTTTGTTGTTTTGGTATGAACTTAGTATAATAATTTATAAATTATATTAACAACAACCCTTTAAGAGCCACACCACGTATGCTAAACGGTCATTGAAAAATATTCGCTTATATGTGCTAACAAATGTTTACGAAATATTAAGGACCACAAAAATATTATATGTAGTGAAATATGTGTTTGCATGTGCCTACGATAGTGGAGAAGATTGAAGTATATACGTGTCCTGATCTTACAATGAAAATTAGAAACAAACATAAGGAAGTATGTTCATTAAATTTTTTCAAGCTATATCCTTCATGTCTTGGAACATTCACTGATCAAATGTGCAAGTTTTGATGAACTGCACACTTCAGTGTTCAGAAATATGAGTGATAATCTGATACTCCGATGTGATTTTTCTGTAAAAGTATGTTCCGACTATGTTGTAGATTCAAGCCATTTAGCTTAATATTAGTCTCAAGGAATAGAGAGATTGTTGAAATAACTCCCGTTCTGATAGGTATTCTCAGGAAAAACTTTTCGTGTCTCCGTGGGATTACCTCTCTTAAGGATTCCGTGCGACCAATACTGTACGGGTTCCGGGCGTTTAATCCTGTTAGGCATTCCGGGCGACTATTCCTGTGCGGGTTCCGGATGATTAATCCTGTTCGGATTCCAGGCGTTCTAATCCTGTACGGATTCCGGGCGACTAATCCTGTACGGATTCCGGGTGACTAATCCTGTACGGATTCCGGGCGAATAATCCTGTACGGATTCCGGGCGAATAATCCTGTACGGAATTCCGGGCGACTTAATCCTGTACGGATTCCGGGCGACTTAATCCTCGTAACGGATTCCGGGCGAATAATCCTGTACGGATTCCGGCGAATCATACCTGTACGATTCCGGGCGAATAATCCTGTACGGATTCCGGGCGATAATCCTGGTACGGATTCGCGGGGCGACTGATCCTGTGCGGATTCCGGGCGACTGATCCTGTGCGGATTCCGGGCGACTGATCCTGTACGGATTCCGGGCGCGCATCCTTTATGGAATTCCGGGCGAGTTTCCGGGCTATTGTTCTTTAAAGGAGCTGAATTAAACACCCATCTTCCCGGGAGAACCCATTAGGGTCTCCTGGGATATATCTTTGCTGATTTGTGTAAATAAGGTTCAAAATTTTAATTTCAATTTTTGTATTCAAATATTGACTCAAAAATGGATAGAATTACTGATGATAACTGTCAATACGATGACGAATTCTGTAATTTTGGTGACTGCCGACACTACATGCCATGGGAGAATACGGAACTATCATTTTATGGAGAAAACAATGAGGTAGAACCCGAACTAGATGACAATCTTGCTTTAGAAGGCATGGAGGATATGGCTGAAATAGATTTCATTTTTGATGAAGAAGGAGACTTTTCCATGGAAGACTGGCCCACAGAAATAGGAGAGAATAATGACAGCGATGAGGCTATTTCTAGTGAGTTATCTCTCGAAGTTGATTTGAGAAGAGTACCAGATGTGTCAGCTAATGAACTATTTGACGAAAAATTGGACGTTGTCCAAAGTAGGCCTCGTAACACCAGCTTAAGTCAAGAAAGTTGATTGTGTGCGAATATGGGACACTTAAAAGTGCGATTTCGTGCAGACCGTTTATTTAAGTGTGGCTTGAGGGAAAGACTAAAAATAGGCTAACTGGTATGTTCAATTCTTTTTCAAAGGACATACAAATGTACTGTTTAGACATTGTAATGTTTTCATATGAAATGTATTGTTAAATGGTCTACATATTTGTATATTGTTTTGTTGTGTTCATTTTATAGCGTTGATATGTTTTTAAAATAAATTTGTCATTGCAATGAAAATTATTTTCAGTACTATTTAATGAGATGTGATCTATGATATCAGTGTTTCATATTAGTTAGTACTAGTATTGTTCAAGTCAAATCTCAAATTATTTCATTTATTAATACGTAACGTAAACTCACACTTTCATGGATGAAGTATTTTGTGAAAATCGTGACCTTAAGAAGTAACATCCAATGGACTAAAGTATTTTCTTTAAATTTCAGAACCTGATACTGCCATACATTTTGTTTATTTTGTAGTAAAAAAACTTGAAAGGGATGTTGTGAACTCATACATTCTCGACATGGGCCTGCGCAGTCTAAAACAAGAAGAGGAGCTAACTACATTTCTGGACTCCTTATCTATTAATATTTTACATAATACATTTTTACATACGTCATTACACTTCCACAACAATTTTAAGCCTATTTTAGTTTATAATGTAAGCCTTTTTTAAGCCGTCTTGAAAATGTTTTGGAGGGCGGTCGTAGGAGGGTTCAATTAGACCTGGGTGCAGTTTTTTCGGAGTAGTTTGGTTCATTTTTCATATTTTCAGCGGTTTGCTGCCGATGTGTGATCTTTGACGCTTTTAAATGGTTTCTATGAGGAATCTATTGTACATTGGACATCTTTTAAGGATAGATTTGAAGGTTGGTTCATGGTTTGGGCTAAATAGTTCGCTGAATGTAACAAGTCCGTAATTTTTCGAAACTGAAATGGACTCGCCTCTGTGCTCGTAGGTCACAAATGTGGATGTGCATCTTCATGTAACGCCGTTTAGAAGGTGGTATTTGAATAATCCAAGAACATTTAAAATGTGCAACTATTGCACATGTCTTGACTTTTAAAACCCTGTAAAGCGTCAAAAGTTTTCAAAGTTTATATTTCTAGACAATAGAGCGATTGTTCTAACTGAATCATAGATCCCATAACACTTTTCTGATAGAGTAATGTGTCCATTGTCATCACTGAATCAGTTTAAAACATGTTTATTTTTTCCACGCGTTATTTTAATTAGGATTGAAGATATTTTTGGAATTTAAAATTTCATTACGAAAAGCTTTAGGGCCCCTTGTTCATGGTGCCCACGGCCTTCCAAATCTCCCCCCTTCCCCCATCAGTCCACGCGCCTATTTTTCTCAGAATATTTAGAGGACGTCATTAATTTGGTTTATTTCATATCTCGAAATTTAATCAAGTTTTGCTCTAATAATTTTTCCTCTTTACTTCATTAGAAATTTTCTAGGTCAGTTACACTCCATATACATTCCAAATATGGAAATACATTAAAATTAATTGCTTGTTCAAGCAACATTCTCATTTAACAAGCGAGCAACATTTAATAAGAGGATCTTATTAAAGAAATTATAGGAATTTATTAAACATGATCGCATTTGTGAGTAAAATTGCTTGAAATAATTTCTTGTGATGCTTCTCGAATCGAATATAATGTTTGATTAAATATTATTGGTGAAAATGACCTTAGATATTTTCAGAAAAGGATGAAACGATATTTTGTTAAAAATGGCTTGATATTTTCGAACGAAAATGTACGTATAGGTCTAGATTTCACAATATTCCGTAAGTCATATTTCAATTGTACTATTAGGAATAAAAAATGAGAGAACTTTAAAAAAACAAGAACAATTTAGTCGTCAATAGATGGCAGCTGAGGAGACGGTGTAGCAAAACAGAAAAGGCAACCCAGATTGAAGAATAAGGAAACTTAATTTGAACCAAAAGACTGCCAATCTCTAGCAACCCGTTTACTATTAAATATGACTTGTCTGCTTATTTTAGTGAAGTAAATATATCGCTTAGTACCTTATCTTCAAAAAAAATGAATGTACAACGGATTTACATGAGAATTAGATTATCCACAAAAATGGTAACTTTATACCTGGTAAAAATTGAGTAAACTCCATCCATTAATGAGTTTCTTTTTCTATATTGTATTCCTTACCCCGGACTATCTCTCTTGCAAGGACAGAGCTGCAGATTTGGGAGTATTTATGTCTGATTCAACGCCACCTTCGAAAATTCAACTCAAGGGAGTCAACGTTACCTCGACGAATCGTTTGAGCGAATCGGCGGGAGGGAAGTGACGTAGGCTAGCAGAATCGCAGTTGCACCACGGAAGCCCACTCACGAAACGTTGCGCGTCGTTCGGGCCGCGGCACAGAGCGCGGCGAGGTTGCGCAACCAGGCGCAACCGCGTGACTCACAGCTCCGCTCGTATAAACGCGGCGCGTGAACGCCGACCGCGCAGACACTCGGCTGCCGGCGTCGCGCGTGCCCGGACTGTGGGGACGCTGCGATTTGGGGGAGGAGCAGTAAGCGGATGCCGCGACAACTTCGCTTCCGGCTCGAAATTCCGACAGGTAAGTGTTCTTAGAATAGTTTGGATCTCTGGAACAACTTACATTTCCGAAAGGAACGTTGGTTGACGACTCGTTAGTTATGAAGACGATAATGTGATAATTATTAACGCCATGAAACTGATCAACAGTAAATAACCAACAGAGATTGTTTTTTGAGTTATGGGTAGTCTGTTCTCAATGTTTTCCGGGATACCATATTATTGTAAACATTTCATAACCAAGAATTTTTTTTGAAAAATAGTGCTCGCATAAAAATTTTAAAAAATACGCCATTTGCATTTAAACCTTATTTGATTCAGCTGTTCTTAATGCATGGCAGACGATTAAATTCTTTATTGACGCCGTCTTCAGAGCGGCTCTCTCTTTAACTGGTTGCCTTAAGATAAGATAACAGTACAGTATTACAAAATCATTTTAAAGTAGTAAATTGATAGAATTGCTGAGAATGTAAGTAGTAAAATGACACCATTTTTACTTTCTCGCACTTACTTCGTAACAACAGAAAGTTATGTAATCTTTCGCCGAAAAACAGCGAATTTTTGATAGAAAATGATTTTTGCTGGGCCCTTGTAACGAAGTAGTGATGCTCCAACAGCACATATTTTCTCGCATTATTTCTATGTGTGCAATTTTCGAAAATTCAGTGAGTTCAATGAAAATGAGACCCACGTCATTCTTTTAAAAATCCTTCTATACGCGAAAAAAATTCGAAGGTCTTTAAAAAAGCTCGTGATAATGTTTTTGAAGAAGGGAGTTTTTGCATGATTTGGGCTTGAAGTTAATGAAAAAAAGAAAATTTTCTAAAAATATTGCAATTTAATTTTTCGTGGATAGAAGAAGGGCCACTTCCAAGAATGGCGTGTACCTCATTTTCGGTGCACTCTAAATTTGAAAAAATTGCAAATTTAATTATAAACGAGAATGTATGTCTATCACCTCTAGTTATCGGTACATTTAATGTGCATACTTGATAATGTTCCAATTTACAATGCAGCAAACTTCCTTTGTGAATGTAAGTGCATTCTAAACGGGTGGGCTCATGGAAGCACATTAAGGGCCGTGTTCACCAATAAGTATTAAGCGCTGCTTTGTTAAGCTGGCTCAAAATTTAAGTTCTAAATTTAAGCGAGCTTACAGCAAACGCGATTCAGCAGTTCCCGCGAGGCGATCTAGCTGTGCGGCTTACCTAAGGGGGTTTCGTGCGTCTTCCGCTAATGTTGGCAACTCTGGAAAGTAAACGCATCAACGTTCTGCACGTTCATTGACACAGTTGTCTCCATGCTTTAAAGTTGTTTACTATTTCGTGTACCGCCATCATTTGGTTCAGTCCTTGTAGTTTGCTGATAGTGTGTGAATTTTTTTTATTTTTGTTCATTGTTATTTCTACCAAATTATTTTACGATCTTTATTAATTTTGTGTTACGCGGTACAGAGAATAACACTGTTTTGCTGAAAGACATGTCATATAGTTATTATTTATAAAAATAAGAATCAAATTGCATTACAAAATAGCTCATTGTACAATTAGTCTTGAAAGATGGATATTGAATTGAAACATTGACAAATGAAATGAAATAGTCTCACAAAGTTCTGTGCAAAGTCTAATTTTTTCGTAACCGTCACAGACGCGTAATGAATTCATAAATAACACACACACACACGGTTACGAATATATATATATATATATATATATACTATATATATATATATATATATTATATATATATAATTTTTTCGTTGAGCCGGCTTAACCAAACAAACATGGAGACCAAACAAACATGGCGGTGAGGTTACGTGCAATTGCATTCAGTTACGACGAGCACGCTCTTGAATATAGAATTTCAGCACCTAGGCAAACTAGATGGATCCAAGATAGGGCAAACTTCTTCGAAGACTCCAATGAAATTCATTTTTACACTCGCTTTCGCCTTTCGAAGAGATCGACATTATTGGTGTTGGAGCCGATCGAAGAAAAACAAAAATGTAGAAAAACAAGATTACAAAAAAACAAAAAACAAGATTAAACTTCAATAAACAGTAAATATATATGGTACAGTAATATATACTAAATGCATTTTTGTATGTACTTTGTATGTAACTACAGGACATCAAGTTTATAGGATTACAACAAGAATTCTGTTTATTGAAGGTTTAATCTTTCAGTTCTCCATTATGTAGTTACAAGCAGGCTACACTACATATCTGTCAGATGTAAATTTTTGTCTTTCTGTAATTAACATTTAATTTTTAATATTCTTCCAAGAAAGGATTAATAATATATGCGAGTAGAGTATATTTTCTGCAGATGTTCAAACGTTACGTAAAAATAAGTTCTGAAGTTTAATCTGACTGAAAATGAATCCATAATTTTTTCGGAAAAGTTTGGGAGATGAGTACTACATTTGGATACTACTGTAATGAAGTTATATGATCATGTTGTTACGCACAAAAGTACCAGAAAGTCGACTGCCTTTACTTGTGCAAAGTGGAACACTTTCCAAAAAGTGATGTTTTATTGTACAAGAATAAATTTGACTTCCATACTTATTTCAAAACATTGTGCAATAGGAAAAATATGTATAAAAACTTTTTGATCTGTTCAGTAAGGAGAATTAAAAAATAAATAAAAATTTTATTAGAGCCGTATATATCATTTTTTGAATGTTTGCATTAATGCAAATGTTGACTTAATTTTCTACATCAGTAACAAAATCAGACGAACTAATTTATAAGTAATTGCAGCGCCTCTATATAATCGATTGATATTTCTTTCGCAGGTAGGCAGACTTACCAAAATTGAAATGAGTGAAGAGTACAGCTATTGCGTGAAATCACGATGGATGTCGAAAGAGTTCTTCCAATATCTTGTCAGCAAGACATGTCCCGAAACGACGGTGAAGAAAGTTTCTTGTTCTGAGTGGACTACGAATTGCATCGAAACGATAAATAGCTCCCAGTATCTACTCGAACTTCTTACACCATGCGGCACCGAAAGCAAATTTTATCATGTGAGGCATGGGTTTTATGGGCCTCTTTCGTTCCCAGGCACAGGGAGAGTACTGGAGACAGAAGTGAGAGTAATAACTAAAATCATTCCGGTTATGGAAAAGGTTTTGATCGATAACGCTTCTGGCAAGTTCGTTCCTCTGGCTTCAACACTCGTTGACTTCTGTGGAGATTATTTATACAACATCTTCGAAGACGATCAAAATTCAAATTTTAAAGTTCTTGCAAACGATAAAGGTGTGGACTTGAAACATTGTATGGCATTTATGCGATTTCTGGCGGTTTTCCATGCTGCTTCAATTCCCGCTCTCAAGGAAGTACCCGCGGATGTGTTGGACAATCCACTCGTGCCGGACACAGAAGGCTGGGGAGAAATCGAAGACGCGATACAAACTTCGCTTGTCGGCGTCAGCGCTCAGGTAGAGTCGTGGGATGATGGCGACGTGTGGTTAGAGAAGATACGCGGGATAAGGGGGCAGCTGGTTGCCCGCTATGCGGACACCCACCGCCGCCAGCCAGATCGATTGCGGGTGCTGCTGCACGGGCAACCGTCGGGCAACCGGGTCCTCTTCCGGGACGAGCAGGCGTCTGCGGGCTGCAGCGTAAGACTGCGCGGGTTCGAGTTCGCGCGAGTGGGCTCCTTCGCCGGCGACGCCCTGCACTTCATCTACCGCGCGGCCGGCGACGACGTGCTGGAGAGCCACGCGGACCTGCTGGTGGAGGAGTACCGCACCGCCTTCAACGAGGCGGCCGACCTGCTGGGCCTGCCGGCCGAGAAGCTGTCGCCCGAGGAAGTGCGAGCGGAGCTGCACGCGCACAGGGCCGTGGCGCTCGTCATGGCCTTCCACGAGCTGCCGCACGTGAGGACGCCCGGTTACCTGAAGGATTACCCCACCGGCAAGCCACACGAGGCGGTCTACCAATGCCCCGCGTACACCAAGGTGCTGCGGGCACTCCTAGTCCAGTTCGACGCCCGGCGGTGGCTGGATGGGTAAGTCTAGCTCTCCTTTATTTATTGTCGTTTCACTGACAAGAGAGTGTGTGGGGAATTTGTAACTTCTATTTGTGCCTTATATGTGCCAAAAGGGTGGCTTTTTTCGGGAAAACCTGGAAAAACGGGATAACCCAGGCAATCAATTTATGAAACAATCATAATTTGTAGGAAAAATCGTCAGAAGTCAGGGAAAAGTTTGAGAGCATTATACAAATGGAAATTACTCCTGAAAAACATTACTACAGCATGCATTTTTGCTTTGTTCTTATTCATTAAAGATTTATTGTTAATTTGTATTTCGTGACATCGAAATAAGACAGCCGATCAATTACTACAATAGCTTTGATTTTTTCTTTAAATAGTGTAAATTGACTCATCTTATCAAGAAAAAAAAAATAAATGCACTAGAAAACTGGGAAAAGTGAGCAAAATTTGTTCCAAGAAAAGCGTGGCCACCCCAAAAAATAGTTTTATTTTAATTATAGGTCAACTATCTCAAAAGTGGAAACCTAGTTGTTTTTGACTTCAAATTTCCAGTTCCATCAAATAGCATTGTAGATGGGAAATGTTTTAGTTGCTTTGTATATTTACTAATATCTCATGTTTTTCAGTATTTATGCGATAAATTTTCACATTTACTCAATCGACATGGCTGTAATATCAAATCGTAAAAGAATTGCATTGCAAATGAACTAAAATTAATGTTGTTTGTTGTACAGTTTATCCATTTACAACGCAGTATTCATCATTACTTATTTGAAATTAAACCGTACACACAGTATACATTTTCAACATCAGTATAATTAAGTTATTCTTGTTAGTTATGAATTTATGGGGTAAATAATGTAAAAATATAGATTTGCAAAGTAATGAACGTGTATTGTATTTGAACGACGTAGTTTTTCTTTTGAAAGTATACGCTGTACTTCTGCATTTTTACCAACTGATCGTAACTGTGGTATGCTATTCCAGATTTGATGACAAATCTACAGAAGATCAAGCCTCCAGCTCAACATTACCGACGCCATGATGATCCACCCCGCTAACCAATGTTCGTTTGTGGCCATGTGCCGTCACATCCATGACAGCATTCATCGTTGACTTTTATCATCGTGAGGAGACTGCCAACTTGCCTACACAATTGGAAAAATAGTTATGAAGGTTTTTTTTTCTTAACGTAAAAATTTTACTAATTTAAAGATGAATTAAGTTGAAAACAAAGACCATTATGCGTTTACAAGTTTTGTTTACATGTGAAATTAAAAAGAAGCAAAATCAAATGAAAGCTGCGTGTGAAAAATCACCAAGACACAAACATTTAGAAATGAAGTTAATAATGGATTGGGCAGGATTTTGATAGTTGAATGTCTGACGTTTTGTTTCAATGGAGTGTGCTCTTTTTTTCTGTAAGCAAAACGTAAGAATGTGTTGATTTATGTTTACTCTAGTCTATGGCATAGCAAACAATAGTTCTCAACTCAAATTTAAATTAGAATACTTCAGATAATGTGTGTGATTAGAAAGAAATCATTTACAATGTACTGCGACGAAAGTATTTGCTAATGAATCTGAAGTGTGTTCAAGAACGTGATTACAAATTAGTAGTTTAGTTTCGTTTCATTTATTAAATTTGACAGTTTACGAGAAAAATTTTAATCAAGATAATGCAATCCAGGTTCGCATCAAATTTCTTTATGGCGTATCTGTGGAGTTAGGTTTTTTAAACTTTCGTTTTAGTACAAATTCTGCAATTCCGAATGTTTTCCTCACCTTTTCCTTAATGGTATAGTTTGGGTATATTGGAAGTATATATTGTTTTTCGAAAATTAATTGAAGGTAAATTAGACGCATTCTGACATTTCCGAGTTCTCTGATTAGAAAGTTTACCTGGTGTTCTTTACTATTTTCCGGGTGTGCTCTGTGAATTATCCAGTCATTATCCACGAGTAGTCCGAGCGTTATTTAGGAGTAGACCGGGCATTAATCGCTAGAATTCCTGGCGTTCTTCTCGAGTGATCCGGGCGTTTTACGGGCGTTCTTTGCGAGTTGTCCGGGCGTTTTCTGAGCGTTATTCGCGAGTGGTCCGGGCGTTTTCTGAGCGTTCTTCGCGAGTGGTCCGGGCGTTTTTCTGAGCGTTATTCGCGATTGGTCCGGGCGTTTTCTGAGCGTTATTCGCGATTGGTCCGGGAGTTTTCTGAGCGTTATTCGCGATTGGTCCGGGCGTTTTCTGAGCGTTATTCGCGAGTAGTCTGGGCGTTATTCGCGACTGCTCCGGGCGTCATTCGCGAGTAGTCCAGGCGTTTCCTGTTCCTGGGTGCAAGTGGTCTGGGTTTTTCTGAGAGTACTTCTCCAGCTATTCACTTGTTTTCCTGGCGATATTCAAGCATTTTTCTGGCATTTGCGGGTGTTGTCCTTGACATCTCCGAGCGTCCGAGTGTATCGATCTTCTCCTGGCGTTATCCGAGTGGTTTGCAGGAGTTCTCTGAATATTTTTCGGACGGTTCTCGGGCTTTATTTGTCGTTTCTTAGTGTTATTTGAGATAAATCAGTATGAGAACGCCAGAGAATTGTAAATACTGCAAGGAGTCTCAGGATGAGTCTGATATCATATGTAGACATGTTCCTTACGAAGAAACGGGATATTTGCCTCCCTGTGATCCGGAAAGCTCTAGTGAATCAGATTGTGAATACGAATCAACAGATATCGACACTGATTCCGATGAGGATGGTAGTTGGTTCACTACACCGTGGACAAAACTGTTTCCTGAATGTACTTCTGATGAGCTGGACATCGACATAGGTGTAAAGATATTTCCTGTTGGTGAAATTCCTGATAAGGAAGTCGCACATTTTCAGCAGGCTCTTGGGAAACGGTTATGCGGTAGACGCAAAAGAAGAATTCACAAAACAATTCGCAAGCAAACTCAGTACTGCGAGCCGAATCAGGAGGGTCACCAAGAACCAAAGAAAACATAAAAAATAGTTTATTTTGTATCTGCATTATTCTTTTTATTCTTATTCTCATTGTTATTCTCCTTGTTATTCTCATTATTATTGTTATTATTATTATTATATAAGGCAATTAGGACTGACAAGTTTACTAATAATTAAAGTAGGCAAAGATGATGACTTAGGAATGTGACCTTGACTACAACATTTAATAAATTCCATTTTCTGAAGTACCACCAATCCGCATCTGACGAAAACTGTTCGATATATTCATACTTAAGTTAACGAAATGATATTTCAAAATGACTTTCGTTTAAATGTGGAAAATTATATTTTTTCGCTAGCATGTTACCCGATAAAAAGAATCACACCATCTTGACGCTTCCTGGAATTCGTAGTTCTAATTCCTTATAAGGCGTGTTTGTTTTCTTCGTAAGTTGTTGAAAAAACTCAATGGGAACCAACATATCTACTTTTGGAACATAGGTATGCTTTGATATTCATCTTATGCGTGGCCAGAGGCATAGGCGGAGAGCCTGCTGCGAAATGAGAGGCTATGATGAGTCCCCCATTTCCTAGCAGGACTCGTTTATGCTACGGGGCACTAGTGCGATGAACACGAAATCGTGTTGATGCTCTACAGATAGATATGTCAGTCCCTCATTGGTTTTTATAATCAACTTACTAGGAAAACAAACATGCCATGTTTTGGATTAGAAAGGGAAAAAAGTACACCAACTTGATGTAATTCTTTGCTTTCATGTATTTGTAAAAAAATGTTATTAATTGAATTTAAGATATTTGTAGCAACTTTAAATCGTCACGCCTTCTTCTACTTGTTCTGAATCGTATTCTCACTTGAAAGTATTTTAAGTGCATTTTCAATAATGAACTATGCAATTTACTTGAAATGCTGTTCGTACTGCTTATATATTCAAAATTGTTCAACTAGGTTCTAAATAACATTTTTTAAGATTTAAACATCCAAGAAGAGAATGGAATAAACCATTGAAGTCTAAGTCATTTTATTTCTTCGCAATATTTAATTAACATAGGTATGACCTTTATTATGTACTATAAAGCCTCCTGTAAGACCCGACGCAAGCGACATATAACCCTTATGTCACCATTAAACCAATTATTTTTAATATGGAATAAGACTGAAGTTTTACTTTGATATTCTGTGACAACAATTGTGTTTGTTGAACTATTATTGTACAAATTCTACTTGTAAAATATCAATTTTTGTACAGAATTGAAAGGATTTCGTTCAATAAAAGCGCTATTGGTTTTCTTATCTGAAGTAAAGCGTGTAGGGTTGTTCTAGTACTTGTTTTCTTCTTTTATCCTTCGCAGACGGCGTGTAAAAAAAGTAAGAGTAAGATAAGTGCGTAACATGATTCGCACACTTGTGTAATTTTCTTATTTTAATAAAAGTCGCAAACGTGTAGATTTAAGTCAATAGAAATTATGTTAAAAATGCATGTTTATATTTATCATTCGTATAAACCTGGCAGATTTCAAAGATGTGAATGTTGACCTCGATGTTTACACGTATTCTAAACGCACTTGTACCCTCAAAAACTGAGACACGATTACTCTTTTAAAATTGGTAGTAACATTATTCTACACAGATGATAGTATTATTTTTTATAAATAATAACGAACAGGAATATCAATCATTGTTCAATAAAAACATTTTGAAGTACGATATAATTTTAGCTGTGATGTGGAAAACTCAAGATACATTATGAATATGTAAGTATTGACTAATGGCATTTCATGGAATGTTGTGATGATAGTTTAAGAGTATTTGTTAAATTATAAAGGTTTTCGAAAATTCTAGGAATTTATCATAACTTCTAATTTATACATAAATGAAACAATAAGACTATGCATTTCCTGCAAAAGTTAATGTTTAAATTATCTTAGTTTCTTTAAACTAATTTTCAACGTCAAGTACGCCAAGGGAAAACCTGTTCCAGTCGTAGAGTTTCAATAGTGAATCTCAGAAAGGAAAGAAAGAAATCCATTCGATATTTAAAATCATGCTCTCAAAACGAAGTGGTGACCACACGGTGCAGGAATGTTGCTTGAAATGTCTTTGAATATTTAACCACATTAATTCCAGCAACAATAGCTCAACTAACCCCTCCAATTTTTATTCGCCACAGACATCAGGATTCCCCGTGTATTCGGTATGCTCACCCCTTCTCTTTAATCCCTTCATTCCTTTTCGTGAATTCACCCCTTCAGTTCCCAAATAACGAAGTATTGCCGGAACGAAACAATTTAAAACCCCAGAGGGGTGTTATTACATGTTTAACGAGTTTTAAGAAAATATGATAAACTTTCTGTTCGGAACAAGAATTTCAATTGCCGGGCGATGGTATAAAGTTTCGTTCTCAAACAGCGTGGACTGGCAGAACAGAAACCATGGGTAACAGTTGCTTGCGCAGCGTTTTTTAATTTTACTTTCTGTTTTCGGTTCTGCAAAGGTACACCTTCAACTAATGTTGGGCTTAAAAATAAGATGGAATATGACAAAAAGTTACATAGGAATTCGAATTTACATTCGAATGTAATTTTTTGGGTGGTTAATCTCTCGCTGATAATTGAATATCAATGAACATTAAAACTACAGGGTAAATTACTCATTTGTTTATTATTCTAATGAATGTTTTGAACAAAGTATTTACAGTCACTCAATTCTTCGATTTTGAAAAATTGAAAGTTGAAGAATAAACCGTCTGTAAATAATTGTTTCAAAAACATATTATTTAATATAGACATAAATCTATTTAGATTTATTATTCTAAATTGTTTGTCACACTAATGTTAATAATAATAACTAGAGACCTCTGCATCTCTCCATTTAACTTTCTTATTCCCCTAACGAATTTCATCAAACAATACTTTTGTCGATTGCATTAGTACTGAATCCTACTTTTTCCCAAATGTTAGACATACTTTTAAATAACCACGAACAGTTACGGAATCTTAGAAACCGAATCGCAAATGGGGGGGTAGTGAGAATGAAAGTGCATTTGGTAGTATGCATCGGGATGCAGCGTTAGTAGCACTTAATTAGACTAATAATGAAGTAATAAAGCGCCACCGAGCCTTTCGCGTCGAGTCGTTAGAGATAAATATAAAAGCGAGGACGAAACGCAGCGCTGGGCTCAGAGCTCAGAGCAAAAACCCGAAAATCGATGACGGCGCCGCTGAGCAGCCGCCGCGCTCGTCGCATCTGCCACGAGTGTGTGGAGCAGGGTAATCACGAAATGGAAAAGTAATCCATAATTCTGTCGAATCAGACTTGTTACTCACTCGTTCGTTGGCTAACGTTCGGATTACCTCGTTTTCAGAATTCTCAAAATACTCATGTTTTATCTGGAATTTTATTGTTGGAATTTTTCGTCAGTTGCTTAGTTTTCCTAGATGATTAGTTGAAAATAAGCGAGTCGAAAATTTGTGAAGAAATATAATGAAACTGTGAAATTAGAACATAAATTAGAAACATAAGCATTCTATTAGACTATTCTATTAATAAAGTAAATCAATTAAAACATTAATTGATATCTAAATTTATCAAGGGAATTTAATCCCTCTTTCAAAATATTACAAGAAATTATTAGTATTCATTTCAAGCGTGGTGAGTTCCGATTGAATTTTAATTGGCAAACGATAGACAATCTGGAAGAAAACAACAGAACCAAATCATTTACCTCCCACATTGTCACTGCCAAGAGACTATTTGAGTTATTTTAACATTCACGAAATAAAGCTGTTATCCCCCAAATCCCGCACTTAATTATATATGTAACCCTTTCAAGTCCTTCCAATATGAAAATCATTGTAACTATCCTAAACCGCTGAAATTTAGACTTGCTACGTACCGTTATGAACTTGACTTTGAGTGTCATGAAGTGTAAAGAGGAAACTCAACCCTCTTCCCTCTAGGGATCATTTCACCCTATCAATCAATACATAAGCCACTAAATTTACAAATCCTGATATCCCAAAACCTTAAGCAACTAATCCAGGAGTTTCAGCACAAATTTGTAAACCATAGCCAATTTTTCTCGAAAGCATCCAAGCAACAATCGAGATCTAGTGGAGCTGTTATTTCCATTATCCCACCCCTTAAGTATCTTTCACTTTTATCGCCTCTCGGATTTTTACTCCATATTCTCGCTTGAAGCCAGGCTATTGCTGTTATCATCCTAAGAGCAGTTATCTTAGATATTGTTATTTTTACTGACTCACTATCTGCTCTATTCTCCGTCCTAAACCGACATTTCTTAAATTCCCTGATCAAGAAATCCAAGAAAAGCTTTTTCACAACTTCCTTAAAGGATACCTCATTACAATAGCGTGACTTCCTTCTCACATTGGCATCCAGGGAAATGAAGAAGCGAATGCAACAGCTAAAGCACCAGTCTCTCTTCCAGAAATTGAAACTAAAGCTGGCGGCTCACTTTCTGATCTTAAAAAGTACCTCTTACTTGTGACTAAGAAGCTTTGGGACCGGGACTGGAAAAATGTTACCTTCTAAATTACATGCAGTCAGGAAAAGTATAATGAATCTCTCATCACGTCCATTAGTCGTAGCAGACGGCATCAAGTGCTTATAACCAGACTGCGTGTAGGTCATTTTAACCTTCGTCATAGCTACCTGATAGATAAAAAAGAATCTGTCCAAATTGCGTGCGGTCTTCCAGTATCTACTATGCACCTTACTGTTGATTGCCATGAGATGACTGAAAGAGCAAATCTTTATATTAATAGTGATCTTCATTGTTTATTCAACTGTTATTCGGGATTCATGAAAATGTTTCAACTCGTTATCAAATTTAATCTGGTAAATTGCATTTAGTAATTGATTAGATATTGCCAATCTTATGTAAAGAAATGCATTAACGTTCTATCTCCTTGGAATATTTCAGTATATTTAGAAGTACTGTATATTGTAATTATGGTTGCCAATGACAGATTTTTCTAAGACAACTTTAAATACATAATTGATGTTTCAAAATATGACGAAAAAAATATTTTGTTCGAAAAGAAATTTATGGAAATTTTAACTTTTAAATTGAAAATAATTCGTAGAAGTGAGGACAAGTGAGAACATTAATTGAACTAAATTAGTCATAATAAATAATAAAGAATATGATTAGACATAAAACTTATAATATTAAAGCTGATTTCTGTGGATTAGTGGTAAACGTGGATGTTTACAATTAACCTTTTAGTAATTCCTCTTGGATATTCCCACACTTGCATTTGTGAGGCAATTATCTCATTTCGTCTAAACAAGTCCAACATATAATATTTGAAGAACCAAACGAAATATTTCCTATTCCACTTTTCCTCTTCCTTAAACTCCAGCACCTGAGGTCGAAATTACTGCAGGCGCTCCTACATTCATGAATGCAATATCCCGCATGAAGGTCGCGTGCACATCCGAGCAGGCGGCGAACACAGACGCAGCGGCGCGCGGAGTGTGTGCGTGGAGTGGCGGCGCGCGGAGGCAGGTCGACTGCGCGGAGGCGGTGGTGGCGGCGACAGGCCGGGGCGGCGGGTTATGAGTTTACACGTTTACGATGCCACATAACCGAGCAACGATCTGCCACTCGCCGTCTCCGCGCCGCCACCGGAGATAGGGCGCGAGGCGCGGTTGCCGGCTCGCCCAGACAACACCGCCCACGCGCAGCGCGCTTTCGCTGTTTCGCCGCCCGGCCCACGCCGTCGGATGCGAATTTTTATATGAGCGGGCCCTGCAATCGACTTTCCACTCGTTAGAATCGAGCTTGATAATGTGCAGTTCTCCATTCGGTGCGTTGTCCGAGGTGGGAATTTGGTCACTTGTTAGCGTTGTGTTTGGGTTTTTGTTCAGTTCTTGCTGTTAGGCGAAGCCAGTGAATGCGGTTTTCTGTTGGGAAAGAAAGGGTGTGCATTTTAGTTCCTTTGCGTTCAGGAATGATAGAACGAAGTGATGGATACCCAACCATTGTAATGTAGACACAAAACTATGGAGGCGGGTTATGTCTTGGGTTCGTAGGCTTCCGCGGCCGGAGCCAATGCATTCTTGGCCCATCCGGGATGAGCCGCATCTCGGTCAATGTTACTGGCGTTTCGGCCATCTTGCTGTGGCCTTCTTCAGAACAACTTTGATATGTCGGGTTATGTCTTAAAAGTTCGTGACAGTTGTCTGTTTAAGATGCCACTTCGCCGAAAATTCATAATCAAATTGCATGTCTGACAAACATTAAGCACGGTGAACTGAGTTGCCAAGTCAAGGTTAAAAACGGTCGTGTTAAAATTCACAATGACAAATTAATAGTTACTTTTTCACTTGCACGTTCCATTTTGTAGGACAAATATAGTTTTGCGAAAAGTTTATATGATTTTCTAATACAAATCAATTGAAGAAATACAATTTTATATATATTCGTAATTGCTGATATTCTCAGTGATATAATTCTATTCTTCAATATTTACGGTTTGTACTCTCCAACATTCGTCATGCGGAGTTAATGCGTCATGAAGTTTCTTTAGATAGATCTTATAGCAAAAGAAAATTTAAAAACAACAACAACAACAACAACAATTGAATGTTTGGAGGTAGTAAATCATGTAATGGTACAGTTTAAAGCATTTTCGCAGTACAGACTTGCAACGTCGATCTGAATTCTTGAGGCATTTCCTACGCAAATGCAAAGAAAACTAAGCATTTTTAAAAACGTTCGCGCTACGTCAAAGCATCACAGCCCCTCGTCGGACAGATTACACGTTTCCATTTCCAGCGAATGCAGCATTTACGCAGTCGACATTTATAATGGCGCATTTTAAAATTTTCAATTTTCTATGCATTTCCTGCGCAAATGCAAAGAAAACCAGGGATTTCGTTTTTTGATCAGGTGAAGCGTGTTTTGCAAAAACTGGCGAAACTAATGTGCACAATTGTCGTGTGAGTACCGAGCATGTTGAACGTTGTGTAGCGAACCAAGACCCATTCTCTGTATAGGTGTCGGTTGCCATTATGGACGCATTTATTTATTCTCGGCACTCGCTGCTTACCCGAGCGTCTAAGATTTTATAACTCAGTGACTCCCAACGCATTTTGATCTGGTGGTTAATGAGAGACCCCGTGTATGCTACCGAAGTCAAGGATCATGATGACCTTCTGCGCATTGAAAGCACGGGGGCAGAAATGAAGGCACAACCGAGCAAAGTTGTGCGCGTGTCAGAGGTCGTGCGGCGCAGATGCCAACCTTGCGTTCGCGCGAATTCTAACCCGTGTTACATGAGTAACTTCTGTTACACGAGGTGAAAATGCTAAATTTTGGTTGTATTCGCAGATATGATAAACTATCCTAAATAACACTTTTTTAAACTAGTTTACACTATTTTCTTTTGCACTCACAAATAACTGAGTGTACTCTCCCACCGGGTACTGTATTAGCAACGGGATCGAATCATTCTTTGTGGAGTAGATGTCGATATATATATGCATAT